ATAGCATGTGTCACAAATATTAGCAGGTTTGATATAAAATCCAAAATAGCACCATTGATCCAAAATTGAAAATCCAAATCAGTAGGTTTTATGAAATTAGAAACAACATCTATGTTCCAAAGTCCAAACTCCAAAATAGCAACCAGATGCGATTACAGAAACTCCAAAACTAGCATGAAACTCCAAATCATTAATCACCTATAAGGCAAAACTTACTCACAAGTCAAAAGCAGATTTAACATTTAGCAAATATAACAAATTTACTAAATTTGATTTAGCCATACCACCATAGTACCATAGGTCCATAGTTCATGAAATAAGAGGAGAGCAAGTCACATAATAGTTTAGGAATCAGGATTTATAGTCAGCATAACTGGTAAAAATTTATAACCATATATTATTTAATAACAGAACTTTCCCCAGCTTCTTCTTCAACTTGATTTATTATTAAATCAAGGATATCTTCAGTCACAACTTCAAGTTCAGGGTCATGCAAAACTGCAATAAATAAAAATAGATATTCATAACCATAAATATTAATTAATGTAATCCTACAAGATATTGAATAAAGTGCGTTAAAATTGAAATTGCACCCTTGTCACCATATAACCAATCATTAGCACAAACCAAAGCCTCATCAATATCAGGTTTCAGTGAACTTCGATACTGATCTAGGATTCGACCACTATTGCTAAATGCACTTTCAGAGGCCACTCTTGTTATGGGAATACACAAAATGTCACGAGCCTTTGCAGAAGCTTCAGAGAATCTATATTGATTGCTTTTCCATAAATGTAGTATATCTAGCTCAATTTTTCTATCAAGTTTAGATTCATCAAGATATATCTCCAATTCAAATTTTTCGGCATATAAACCTCCTCTTCAAATGAATCGAAATCCTGTTTGGGAAAGTTAGAGCTTAACACATGAACAAAATTAATTTATGAACTCAATTAACAACATAACATTACCTGCTTGAAGGAATTGAGATTGAATAACAGTAGATGAACTACAAGTGGAGCTTTCAGTTTATGGCCTTTCTTAAGAATTTGAATTAAACACAGATACAACATTCCCACTACTCCTTATGTAATTGGAGAATAATGAGAACAATTTATCCTTTGCCTTCTTAAGCTCAAATACATAATCCCCTACATATAACCTCCTATAGCACCATTCCACAAATGTGAATTTATATCTCGGATCAAGAATAACTGCTACAACGAGAATGACACTAAATTCAAACTAATATTTCTCAAAATTTCCAATCATCCTTAAGGACATTTCCTTTATGTAATCATGTCTTTCTAACAACTCATGTTTCAATGCTGCATAAGCCATCGAAATGCATGGAAAATAAAGATTTGTTGTTGGGTACTTTGTACCATATATCACACTTGTTATATCATAGAAAAGTCTCAAAAGAGTAGAAATATTCTCTACTCTCTCCCATTCTGAATTTGATGGGCACATTTTATAGTTTGAGTCACCTAACTCTAGGTGCTCAAATGCCCTTCGATAATACAAAGCACTGTCTAGCATTATAAAAGTGGAGTTCCACCTAGTAGGAACATCTTGTCTTAAACTCTTTTAGATTCCAAACAACTCACCTTCACATAGAAGGGCACTCTTCAAATTCATTTGGTTTTTCAAGTACTCAACACAAACATTATTTGCAGAAGCATTGTCTAATGTAATACTAAAAAGCTTAGATTCTATTTTTCATTCAAGAAAAAGATATTGCAATTTCTCAAACAACGTTATATCATCATGGGGTGGTAGCATAAAACAAAAACTAATGATCTTTTTATATAGATGTCAATCATTATCAATAAAATGCACAGTCAAGCAAATAAATCCATCGGTGTTTATAGATGTCCACAGGTCAGATGTAACACAAACTCTGCTAGTGCACTTAGATAACTGTGAACGAATATTTGAAATTTCTTTATTGAATAATTTTTTGCAATCATTCATAGCTGTATTCCTAGAAAATAGTTGAACATCCCAACGAAGATAGCTCAAAAGTGCTCGAATAACTAATCATTCAACATATTGGAAGGATAAACCATGCATAATTATGCAAGCAGTAAATAAATCATGAAATTATGTCGAGTCAAACTTATGATCAGTCATAGAAATATAAGAATTTGAGGTGGTTTGCAATATGAGCTGGCCTATGTCACGTATATCTCTTCTCTTGCAATTATGCAAATGTCTTCTTAAGTTATATGTCCCATTTTTACTCTCACACAAGTATTGTGCATGAAATTTTTTACATTTACACCTTTGCTTACCATATGTAGGATTAGATAGCATCTCAAAATGCCCCCAAACCTTGGAAGTCATCCTCCTACGCTTCTTAATTACCACTAAACCATCATTAGATGGCTATACCACATTATCTTCAATGCGAAGTTCCTCATTCTCATCAATAAAAATTTAAGGAAGTGTATTTGAATCCTCCATTTAATGAACCAATTAAATCATTTAATACATATTATACATAACAAAAAACTCAATAGCCAAATATCATAAATAATTCAATATGAAAGAGCTAAAGAACATCCTAAATTATTAAATTTCAAAGATATACACAAAATACCAGCTTCTTGTAGGTGCAGCCAGCATGCTACATGATTTACATGCTTTCAATGTAAGTATGTAACAGAATAACAGAGAGTCAGAGATTAGAGAATCACTGAATCAGCGTCCAAAGATAGAGAATGATAACAGGTAGCACCGACAATAACCAATAAACCATCAATAGTTAAATCGACAGGCCAAAGTGTCATACTACCCAAAAAATCGTTCAACGCTACATGAGGCAATTTATTACTTTATTTCAGTTAGGGCTAAATCCTTTAACAACTTTACAGGCTTATAGCATGCCTAAATGGCCAAATAACCCAAATATATATAAAGCACTAACAAATCGAACTAAAAAAATTGCTAAATGTTATGCCCTAATAAGCAAATCAAAAGTAAAATTGCATAATAACTTACAATCAAAAGGAATAATCGAAGAACGATGATACTTCAATGAAGATAACTCTAAACTGATAGTAAGTAATTAGCACAACAAATAAAAATAAAAAAAGAGAGCATGAAATGCCAAGGAGGAGAAAAGTTTTGGGCATGAAGGAGATTTAAAATATACTAATAGAGGAATCGAGGAGACGACGACACCAACGTGGCGACGAGGAGAGAAGCTCCAGGAAGGAGGCAGGAAGCACCGCGATATCAGTCAAGAACACCCTAGATTTGGCGGTCTAAGAGGAGAAGAGACGAAGACGGAAGACTCGAAGTCTCGAAAAGTCTGAATGTAGCTGCCCGAAATGCACCCTAAATGACTAAATCCCTATTTCGTTAGACACGTCACATGTGGACACTGGACAACGCGGGTCAAAGCCGGTCATTGTCAGGTTTTCGTGTTGACTTGAACCTGACCCGAAATTTAAAACGGGTCAAAAAATGCAACCCGAACCAGACCCGTTTTGGGTTCAGGTTGACCCGAACCTGAAAAACTCAGGTCGGGTGTTCGGGTCGTTTCAAATATTGACACCTCTATTGGCATCCATATCTTATGTGTATCTGTTGAGTATAGTATACTACATATCTACTGCGTATCTTCTGTGTATCTTCTTTTTGCATATGTGCTTGTTGTGTGTCTGTTTGTTGTATATTTGTTGCATATAAATCATGTATATACTGGTTATGCACTACATATTGTACACGTGATATTTAACATAAAAAGTTAGTCAATGAATAAGTAAAAGCATATGCACAAAAAAAGTTTATTTCAATAATGAACAAAATAATGCGTATACAAATTTGGCCTTATATTTTGGCATTTCTTCTTGTCAATTTTTAGTTTCAAGCCTATTGGTATTACTTTCAAGAACAATTCTTTCCATGTAGTTGTAAACAAACATTTTCCACAATCAATATTATTTTTCTAAGTTGGCACACCACACACTAACAGGACCTTTCATCGTCTTATATCACAATTAAAAGCTCCATTTGTGTCATCATATAAGTTTTAATATGAACAATATAACGAACAAATATTAGTTGACTAGTCACACACAAAAAAATGTAATTTAACACTTGCTCTCTCACTTATGATCTTTTAAAGGATTTGCTTATGCTGGGGGTAGGTTAAAGAATCGTAAAAATTTCCCTTCTATTCCTTCAACATCCCAAACAGAAGGTTCTAGTGCTCACTGTGGATGATTGGTTGAAGTAACAGATTGCATGACTTAACAGCAACATTAGTGATATGTTTAACATACAAATTCACAGCAGGGTTGAATTGCTTGTATCACTGCAACAAGTCAATAAGGACATGGAAAATGCAACAGCTAAAACATATACATAATACGTGTATACTAACCAAATGCATTGACGAGATATATAAGAAGTTATGGTACTAGTCAGGGCTAAGTTTATTCTTCTTGTTTAGCAATAAAGCGAAGGAATTCACATGATTATTATCAATGTATTTATCTAATATAATTTCATCAATGTCTGCTATAGTTATTGAGATGTTCTCACAAGGAAAAATTTGATCAGAACTGCAACAAAGTAAACACGCCTGAAATATGAAAAAAAAAAAACACAGTAAATACTCAACATATACATAAAAATTATGGAGCAAATACATAGATGATACACAACAAATATACAATAAATATGTAAAATATGCGCATTGATAACGTAGCGTTACACAATTAACTTACTTGTCATCATACTTTTTAAAACAGTCATCCAAAAATATTTGTTTCCCTTTACTCAACTTCTTCATGCCCTTGCATTGCATTAATGAACTTACAGGTTTAAGCACTATTTAAATGTCATTAATGTTAATTGGTTCAGTTGGAGATGGGGTCCCTGTTCTCTACTTCTTCTAAATTTGACTAATTCCTCTTCATGTTTATCTGTAACTTAATGGTCAAAATGTGACTTTCTCTTGGCTGATGACAAGAGGAAGAATTGGTTCATTTAGGGCTTCCTTCTTGATTTGGACTAGAGCAAGTATCCTTTCATCTAGGATGGGTTGCTAGCAGGACGAAGAGGACGGAGCAGGAATTTGCTCAGAATTTTTTTACTGTTTTTTAAAATAATTTTATAGTATAATTTTTTAATTTTTTACTGAAAAGCTGCTGGAAGAAGTAGGAAGACAGCCCTCCCCCCAAAACGAAGCCTACGTCTCCGACAGCAGCTACACCGCAAAGCTCACCGCTTGTGTGAGGGCTTCGACTTTTTTCATTGGCCAGCGTCCGTTTATCTCCCTTCCCGCCCGTCCGTCCCGCGCGTATCGCCAGCGATGCCGAGCCTCTCGCGATTAACCCTAGTCCTGTGCTGCGTCTGGGTTCTTACGCTCCTCTGTGGCGAGATGGTCGCCTATTGGATCCCTCTGTGGACGTGCTCATGGCCTCAACCCGACGTCGACTTCTCCTCGCAATCGTCATCTGTAATGTGCCTCGATTCCTCTTTTGAATATGAGACATTTACTAAATCTTCTGTGTTTGCGGCATTTGAAGTTAGGTCTTGTAGATATTATGTTAGGTGGATCGGATCGGATCGGATCGGATCGGATGACAAATCTTTTTTTGAAGTTAGGTCTTGTAGATATTATGTTAAGAGCACGCGCTATGATATGAATACACTTCTGAATAATGTTTCATTCGCTTTGCTGTCCATCCTATACAATATGTTTTTAATCACGAACTTAAGCTATATTGGTTGATTACACAGATTGATGGTCATGCGGTGAAGATTGCTGTTGTAGCTGACCCGCAGGCAATTGTTCTTTCCCTAACTATTTTCTTTATTATGTATTTATACAAGATACTAAACTGAAAAGGATGAACATGCCATGCTGTTAAAATTATATTTCGTACAAAGCACAATTTTCCTGAAAACCATTAACCTATATAACTTCGTCCCTGGATGCAGCTAACGTGCATTGGATTGACTCTGTAGTATTGCTTTTGATTGTATATTTGACATGTCTGTATGTTTGCGTTTAGATGAGTTCTGTTGACCTTTTTCGGCTTCCAAGCTTTTTAATTGATTTTCTTTTTTAGTTTCTGAAATAATCTTGGAGCATATCTGTTTCTGTTTAAAATATACAGTTTCTTCTCAACAGCTAATGGATGGGACATCGCTCAGCCTTGCTCCCAAGTCGCTTGCACTAGAGGCTGCAAAATTTTATACAGATTTATACATGCGGAGGTCTTTCCATTTGTCTATATTGCCATTCAAACCAAATTTGGTTATATTCCTGGGTGATCATTTTGATGGGGGACCTTTCTTGTCGGATCAAGAGTAAGGCATGAATACCCTTTTTGTTAGATTGTTGATCTTTTTGGTTCTTGTTATTTACTTGAACCTGTCATCACTTTTTTGTGTTTTTTTTTCGTCACTAAATCATTAATTCGAAGTTTTGGTACTTGTCCTTATGAAAAAGTGCCATTATAGCTTTGAAAGCATCAAACGTTTAAAGAATGGTGATGAGTGATGATTTAGGTTTAATATCTACTAATGCAACTAGAATGATGTACAATATGTAGATCATGCTAGAGAAGTTACAATTCATAGATCACATATGCTAAATACATATAGAAATTTACTTTTTTTAGATGCAAACTAGTAAATACGAGAGTTAAAATTTTAATAATAATGCGATGTTCTAATAAATTTGATAGAAATCAGCTAATAATTCAAACTATATAAAATCAACAAGCAGTTATAATTTAATTATTGCGCTTTAACTCTTCTTTGTATCAATTTTGAACAAAATACGGAACACTAGCAAGACAATAACAATATATATATATATATATATAAATGGAAGAATTTACCAAAATAAAAAATTCAAGTCTTTGCTGGCACAAGAAAATCATTTCTCATGAAATTAAGTTGTTGCATTTATACTTTTAAAAAAAGAATCGAACATCAAAAAGGAATCGCACATCCATCGTGCATAACTGCATATACAATTTTGAAATTTGGAAGAAGAAGTTTTGTTGAATATTTTTCTTACAAACTTATATGCCATGGATAATTTCACTAATTTGTTTTTAGGTTTTCAACTCTAGGTTAGTAGATATAATTAGCACAAAATCATTTTAATTATGTTTTGATATTCCTTAACATTCTCGTGTGGGGTGTTACAGATATGTGCTCGCTAAACATTAGACCATTGGTGATAAACTCACAACCTTCCTTCTCCATGAATTCCAGTCGGGCTTAATTCCATAACCACAATTTTAGGTGCATTCTTTGAGTAGCAGACGGGTGAAACATTAAGTCCAAAGTTTCCACTTGAAACTTTTGAATGTGAAGACAACTATTTTCACTTTATCGTGATTGTGAGGGAAACTATGTGAAGTTCGTGCTTTCAAATAACATTAAAGTCCAATCTTCAAAACAATAAGCCCAAGCAGTGGCGGAGCCAGAAATTTTATTCAGGGGGGGCCTAAATTAAAATAGTTATGTTTGTCATCTCATTATCGGTGTCAAGAGAGCTATAAGATTAAAATTAAAAAAAACAAATAACATGGCCCTTAGAGCTTAGAAGACATAAATATCTGTTTTTTTTTTTTTTGGAGGGGGGGGGCACGTGCCCCCCCTGGCCCCCCCCTCCCTCCGCCGATGAGCCCAAGTGAAATCCAAGAAAAAAAGAAGAAGCAAAGTTCAAAGTACTAAACCCACGCGAAGTCCAAACTTCAAAACAACACAAAAATTTGAATATGGCTTACACCACATGCTGGAATCAACCACATAATAGACACTAGTTCAAATCCATAACCAAACTTCATAAACCAACCTATCAACAGGGAATCAAATTAATAGAAAACATATCTTGTCGTCATGATCATTCATTACGAGCAATTAGAAAAAAGAAATTGAAATCTATAAAATAAAATCACAACCAAATAAAATAAATAAATAAAACTTTACTCAAATCATTTATTAATGTTGAAATAATGCTGGATCCATGGATTGCACCTTTTTATCTGTAATGACCCAATAATTCATCGGAAACAATGTTCCATTTATGTTGTATAGTTAATTATGGATTCCAGAATTAAAACTGATTTCATATTTGTTTCTTTTCTGGGTAGTTTTTTACTTACCTCTTTATGTATTGATGCTCGCAGTGTTGATAACACATAATATGGAATAAAATTTAGTCATATAAATTCTTATTTTCCATTCTCCTCTTTATTCATTATAATTTTCAAGATTACATCAGAGACAATAATATTCAACTCCTTGTGAGGACGAAGGGTCCTTTAATATAGAGTCACTCATTCATGCTGATGGATGGGTCATTCACCAACGTTGAAAGCCTGTCTTCATCCAATAAGAGTGGCATACGTGAAGGGTCATTCACCAATATTCAAAGCCAATCTTCATTTAATTAGGGTGTGAAGGATCTTTTTGCAGGTAAGCAATGTCAACTACCATGAGAAGTAACCAGTGGTCCAAAAGTTGGCAACTCTAATGCTGGAAATTAACTAAAAAATGAAAAACTCATACAAGCATGAAAAATCCTTGTTGAGTGCCAGACTATAAAATTTGAACTAACAACCAAGGTTGTGAAAACCGGACCGGACAACGATCGGAAGAGGGAGAGGTTCACGGTTCGACCGGTCGAACCGGGATCGAACTGGATGACGTAATAAATAATTATATTATTAAAATTTAATAAAATAAAAATTAGATAATATAATTATATGAGCATTTAATAATATTTATAAATTTTTATACAT